AAAATAAGTGGGTTGCTTTTACGGCTGTGGTTCACAAGAGATACCATTCTTAAGATATAATTAATCGTGTTTTAATCTTAAGAAAATGTACTTTAAAATGATAGGGATAGAAATAGCACATCTTACGCCGATTCCGCTGAAAAAACTGGTTAGGCGATTACGCTTACACCTTCCATCTTCGCCAGTAGCTAGTTCACGACCCATCTCAGCTTTTGCGTGCAGCCCCTACCCCTCTTAGCCCGCCCCGGTGCGCGAACATGACAGGCGTCGGTGGTTCAGTGGTAGAATGCTCGCCTGCCACGCGGGCGACCCGGGTTCGATTCCCGGCCGACGCAATTTTTTTTACTATTTGGGGAAGAGATTCGAGAGGTGGCTGCGCTTGGCGGTACATTCTCAGAATTTCGGTTTTTGCTTTATATTTCAGGTTTTGGGTCTAAAATGAGCGGTTTACCTACGGTGTTTCACATAGGTGAACAAATAGTTCAAGAAACCAGAGATAGAATGGGAACATTTTTCATCAAGCTTCAGGCCCAGATTTCGAAGCCCAAGAAGCCACGATCAGAGCTCGAGCCTTTTAAAGCATCAGTCAGCCAAAAATGATGCGTTTAAACCTCATTTTTGGCTGACTGATTCACCCCCACCGTAACCTCATTTATCTCCTCACGTGGAATCCCAAAAAGAGCCGGCTTCGAAAATCGTAGGTCTGTGTCGCAGAAAAAGAAAAGGATCTTTGAGGTTTCCCCAGAGGATTCGAGTCTTTCCGAGCAGATACTAACTGCATGCGAGCCGCGACCGCGGTGTGGCACCGGAAAACAGCTGCCACGGAAATCTCGAAATCGGCGGCTGGTGTGGTATACATATATGCATGGCTGGGGGCTATTTATGGGATGTTAGGCAAGCTGAAGGATACAACAACAACAAAAAAGATCGGAAAATAAAGAATGCTATAGCGACCAGTGGAGCGCGAAGGGAAACCCGCGGATTTGAATAAAGAAAATTCTCGGAATTCTCTTGAATGGTATGAAATAACTTTTTAATCAGCATCGAAAATTAGTTGTATTCAGGATGGATGCATTAATTAATCGAAAAATGTTGATGTTTGGTGGCTTGGAATTGCTAAAAGTTAGGATCTACTGTAATGTAAGGTGCACTTTTTCGTGGCAATTACTAAGAATGCATAATTTTAGCAGAAAGCGGGCGTAAGGTTAAGCTTTTGCTTAATTTTTGTTAATAAAACCTTGTTCATAAAAAAGTATATTTTGGCAGTATGGAACGATCCAATCGGTAATATTGACGTATTCTAACGGCTAAACATGTTTTTTTTTGTGTAAAAAGCACGAAATGCAAAATTACCTCTTTAAAATTTTTACGTGCAGAAAAAGTTATTTTGAAGGCAAATAATTTTATTTTTCGAAGTACTGTCAAGTTACCGAGTATGGCATTCGTTTAGCAATGCAGCAACTAATACAGAAATTTATAATTTAATAAATTTTGGTAATTTGAAGAAAATACGAGCTCGACTAGGCATAGAAAAAAGTTTAAAAAGTCGGGTTTCAACGTGCCGCATTGCTGAAAAATCTGGGACATCCAACATCGAAAGCCCCTGGGGACACAAAAAGTTGGGGAGAGGAAAGATTGAGAAAAAGGGAGAAGAGAGATAGGGGCATCTTTCAGAAAATGGACCCCGAGCACGAGAAGACAAGTCGATGCTTTTGGACACGGACAGAATTTGCGATGAGGGAGACGAATTTAGAGGGATCGAGGGCTAGAAATAGCCTAGTAAAAGAGGGGTCAATTTGACAAGGCTTGTGACGTCTTTCCTGAATCTCTCGACAACAAATACTCGGGCTCAAAAAGTTCATTCCGGGAAGAGTCATAGGGTGGCGGAATTGCGAAAGTGGTCAAAATTGTTGCGAAAATTGGAACAGGAGTTCTTTATCTCTGTCTCTCTTTCTCTCTCATTTTCACACTATCCTGTGGTCTCTTTCCCTCTCTCTCTCTCTCTCTCTCTCTCTCTCTCTCTCGTTAACTCTCACTAGCTCAATCACTCTCCATCTCACTCACTCTCTCTCCATCTCACTCTCTCTCCATCTCACTCGATCGCTCTCTCTCTCTCTCTCTCGTTCACTCTCCATCTCTCTCATTTTCTTCCTCACTCGATCGCTCTCTCTTTCTCTCTCTCTCTCTCTCTATCGCTCTCTTTTATCTCTGTCACTCTCTTTCTCGCTCTCTCTCTCTCTCTCATTGTTATTTGACTTAAATCCGATGCATTTTCAGCCATCTCGTTTCACATATAAAATTTATTATTCAATTAAAAAATGCAATTCAGTGTACAAAACAAAAATGATCATAAACCAGGAAAATATAGATGACAGGAATTGACAATAAGGAAGACGCCCGTGACACCCAATTTTAAAGGCACCAAGACCGCCCAATTTTAAATGCGCAGTGACACATTTATATCCATTCCCAAAAAAGTTTAAGACTCCTGGAAAGTGTTATCAAAAGTGTTATCCCATTTTAACGTTTTCACCAACTTTCAATGCATCTGCTTTTTGTGAAGCATTAAATTAGTTTTGTTTTTTACGTAACAGGGTCATATATAAGCCAAAATATATAATAAACATATAAGGCGTAATATTGGGTATAAATCCAATTGCAAAAATAAAAACATGATATACTATATTATTACCTTTTTAAATAGCGGACTACTGTATTAGTTTCTTTTTAATTCAATGGATTCAATGACATTTAGCATCTTGCCGTGCAATTTTGTTGATGGGTTACCTTGATGGTAGGCCTGGCCATCGACCTTTTGTCCATTTCAGTCATCAGGTCATCGATAACTAGAATGACCCGGTGGTCTGGGGAAAAGCATGGGAGGATCCCCACGGAGGTTTTCTACCTGACCTTCCATATTTTGGAATGTCCCAATGGGCCTATTGCTACTATTCTGTAGCATGCCCCGTAGTTTCACCGTTTCTTGGGTTTCAACCTTATAACGGGGGCTTAACGGGCGGGCAGATTCTCGCCGATTATTCCATTCTTCCCTTTGGCTTTATGTGTTGAAGAGCTGGCTCTTGGTTTCGCCGCTATTCAGCTCCAATTTCACGAATGCCTGATGCTTTCGAATTACCTGGAAATAAAGGCTATCTATTTTTTTTAGCTTACCAGTCAATGCTTTACAAACTGCCCCGCACCAAAGCGCTGTTTAATTTTTGCAGGGTACTTTAAATTTTAAAATTTTCTATTCCGGATATGACAAACCCGCGCTATGTGTCTGCCCCGACCTCGCAGACCCCTTTTCGTAGGGGTGTGTATGCCGTGTTTTTTCGACTTTATGGAAACTTGGTGGCCGCTGCTCGTCGTTGCATGTATTCTCACTCTAATCGTTGTGTTCTTGGCAGGTGGATAAGCAAAAAGTCCTTAGTACGCAACCATTGCTATCGAATTTGGCCGGACGGAGACAATATTGCTTGGCTCCCCAGCTAAAATACGCCGTCCATCATCCACTTCATTCTTCACAGATGTCCCAGATTCTCGTCCGCGTTTCGCTTCGGGCAGCGCTGTTCTGCCCGGTTTTGGGTGTGGCTGAACAGACAGGCAAGAAACCGCGGTCTTCGAAACCACTCAACAAGCTCACCGGCAACACCCCAAAAGCTTGGTGGATTTGACGCCACGCTTCGTGCAAAGCTTGGGCAACAGTGGTGCCCTGATGGGGTCTTTCACAACATCGACAACCTATTGTAAGGTTTTGAAAAAACTTACGTCCGACTCCATCCCTCTGGTCCGCCAGTCTCTTCGGGGTACCCTAAAAAACAAGCGGTGTGAGAATATTTTTTAACAAACAGTCGAAAAACAAAACTCACCCTTCGCCCCCACGGGCGTCTTGGCGCTGTCGGGGTGCTGCTTGGTCCCGGCGTCGGTGGTGTTGTTGGCGTCGGTGGTGTTGTACACATAAACGAGGTAAACGGGGTCTAAACCAAGGTTTTGAAAAACTACGGAAACTACCGTGACCGACTCCGGAGAAGACCAGACGCATTTTGGCGGGGTTTTGGGGGGCTTGTTTTCGCTCGCCGGTGGTGGTGTTCTGTTGAGCATGCGGATACTCTCCTAAACAAAAACTACTCAACTGAAACATGTGAAATATTACGTCGAGAAAAGCCGAGAGAAGACGGTGGCTGCTGTCCACTTCCTTTTTCATCGCTTTTAGTCGTTGGTTGATGCGCCAAATGAGTTCAACATCCATTACTCAAGCTAAAATTTTTATTATTTTGGAATTTTGAAAACAAAAGACAAAAACAGCGAAAACGAAAAAACAAAAAGTATAGAATTTTTGCAATACTGTCAGCATTCACCATGAAACGCTCGAAGTTGCGCAAAAGTTTTTAACGTCCATGTCGTCTGGCCACCCAAGCCTTGGCATGGCATAAAAATTGACGAGGGGTGTATGAACTTGAAAGGTCCCGTTTTGCACCTTTCTCGCTCGACGAACACTTTCAAGTGGCTGTTGATGCCCAAGGAAGTGTTGAAACTCCCTGAGCCGCCCTGACTCTAACCAGATCCCCGGAAGTATACGTGACGGCCTCTTAAAGATGCTCCAGTGGGTTCCTACAAGACTGGTCCTTGACGTTTCCAGCCACGTTGCGTTTCTGACAGTCGCGACAGAAGTAGGTCTAAATTTTACGGCTCTCTATAGTGGGCGTTTGATACCTTAAAGATGTTCTGTGCGGCTTGCGGGAGGTTTTTATTCATTTCCGTGCAGGTGGCACAGAGATATATTTTCAGGGGCTGGCGTTTTCAGGCTTGACGGCAAGCTGTCGTTGTGTTGTGTTGTGGCATAGTTTTATGTCGCTTGTCGCTAAAAATGATTCGAGCTTCTTGGCCCAAACGTGGATGTGAGCCACGTTTTCGTAAAAGAGAGATTTCGCGATTAAACGCCAAAATATTGGAATTTGTTTCAAAGCAGATAAACGTGTTTAAGGGAATTTCGACGCCTATCCCGAAAAATTGATCGATGGTGGTGGTGGCATCGTAATGATGGCAAGGTTCGTCTCCTTGATCCTCAAAAAGATGGATGTGTTGGCAAAATCACCTAAGACCATCTTGGCCAGCTTTTCGAGCGATTCTGAAAGCGAGCTTGTTTTCTGCGGGAAGGGTTACATGGGCTCGTGCCGAAACTACCTACTTGCAGGTTGACGAGAAGCTGCTTCCTGTCTTCAGGGCTGACCTCGACGGCTGCCTTCGCTTCCGTCTCTGTAAGTAGGGTTCTGATATAAAGGTTTTGGATCTGTTCGAAAAAATAAGTTGCATGGAGTCAAAACGTCGTCGCGCGCAGCTGCAAGCTCGATGGGGGCAAGCAGTCGAGTGTGTGCATTTTGGTTCGAAAGGTAGTTATTTCGAGTGATGAGGCATATTTTCAGGTTGGGCCTAGGATTGTAACGCCTAATAAAGTGTATTACTTTCATAAAAACATCTTCGGGAAGTCCCCGTCGCAATGTGAGGAGGATATGGTTCGTATTTTCGGCACGCATGAGTATGCTAAAGAAGGCACGGGTTCCATTGGAAGTTCAAGCGGGTTATCCATTGCGCGAATGTGGCCGAAGACGGTTGCTCCTGGTGGCTGCTTTTTGCGGTTGGCACCCTGCCGTATGGCTGGCTGCCGGCCTGCTCGAGCTCCACATTCCATATGACGATGGTTGGGTGCTGACCATCCGACATGTAGCGGGCGAAGGTGGCCCGGTGTGGAGGCGGAAAGTATTGAGCCGACATCGGGAAAGCGTTATTGTAATCTGTTCTGTTAAAGGACATGAGATTATAGAAAGCAGTCGGCGAAATGCTTGTTAGTTGGTTTCTTTTTTGCCATTGACATAATGCGCTACCCCATCGCGGATTAAAAGGTGAATGAACGATGAACGCCAACAGAAAACCCTTGTTGACCATTTCTAGCATGGGTTCGTTTAAACGATGTGCGTTGCTTGTTCGTAAAAAGACGAATTTGTAGATTGGGTTGGCCTATATGCCCTCTAAGTCCTTAGTTCTCACTGACGTAAGAACTTGCAGAAAGTCCACTCCACTGATACGGGGGCCGAGACAAAGCACAATCTGGGTCGGGGTCTCGGAATGCACAGCATCGAAAAGAATTCTAAAAACGTATCTATGGATGGTATAGGCTGCAGAGGGGCTCTCTGCTCCAAATCATAAATGGCGATTTCCGTGAATAGGGTGGTCGGTTTCGTGTTGATGGTGTATATTTCTAAAGCACCGTTGAGACGACCATCTAGACGATCAAGCTTTGCCTGCCAAATGACCAGGTTACGCGGGGCATCGCCGTCGTCTGCCATCGGGTTGTCGCACGGGATCATGGTGTGGAAAATGCGTGGGGCTGTGCAAGGTGACATCGTCTGCAAATTTTACTGATTATCTGTTCTTGGAAAATTATTACTTATCGTTCGGGGAGGTGAAAAAGATGTAAGAGAGATGGCTATCCTCCTCCTACCATTTACAGTGGTGGGGTCTTCGCCCCTTTTGCCCCTGAAGGGCTGCTAACCAATCTGCTGGCTTCCAAAGTCGACTTTCTAAAATCATTTGAAATTTTTATTTAATTTTCATATCAACTTTGCCCGAACCTCCTCCTCCTACCTTTCGAGGTATCGGCTGAACATGCCATCCCACATTCCGGATGGGTGGGGTGTCAAAAATCCAAAATTTCAAATCGATTTTTCAAAAATTATCAAAAATGAGATGGCGTGATCGAGACTTTCAGAAACTCACCCCTCATAGGAACTTCTAAAATGCCAACAAGGCCGGGTCGGTCTCCGCCTCCTCTTTTGCATCTGCCGCTTCGCAAATCCTGAATAATCGCTGTGTTGCAGTATCGTAAGGATGAAACAATAAAAAAGTAAAAAACTTACGCCTGACATATGATGCTGTTATGCCATTCCCCTTGGCCCAGCACTCGCGACGACCGCACGTGGCATATGAGCCAAACATGTGGCACAACCCGACGCGGCCGCACTTGGCAACACAGACCCGGCACAAGCCAAGGGCCTCGCTCAATGACTTGAACTCGCGGGAGTCAGAGCGAAGAGCGTCGGGTTTTGGATCTCTTGCCCGATCGCTTACTCTCTACCGATCTCTTACTCCCTCAGTTTCTCTGGTTCTTTTACGCTCCCACTTGGTCACGGTCTCTGGAAAAGAGTCTGCCGACTCGCGGTGACAACCTCGACCTCTTCTTAGTGAATTCGTTCAAGCTTTTCCAATTGTGTACGGACCAAAAAACGCCTAAAATAGAAGCTCATGCAATGCGTTATTGGTTTGTGTTATGAAGTTTCAATTTTATTCCGGATTCAGTATAATTCATGATTCCACTTTGAGCGTCGGTGCGCTTTTGGAAAACCAAATTTTATCATATTCCGCTCAGGGGGCATAGTGCAAAACTTTTCCGATTCTGGCATAAATTACGCTTCCCGATATCTGTCTGGAACCGATAGCCGAGGTAATTCCTTCATGCCTGGCCAGCAAAACGATTTGTTGAAGTCCGGATTTGTATAAAATAACATCCTGCCGTATCTGTCGTTGAAACTATCAAAATTGTCCGACGACGTCGTTTATAAAACTGAGAATTTTCAGTCATCAGTTAGCTTTCATCCACGATTTAATTTTTCAAATCAAAGATTTTATCGTTTACATCGTTCGGCTTACATATATCCTTTTATCTGTGCCTCGCTTTTTCCATTTTTAATTTGTCGACGATTAGGTTTTCGCTTTCGTTTCGAATATTCTAAAAAGCCAAATCCGACAATTCGTCGAATTTTCGCGTGATTTTAGAAAAAGAAGTTTCTCAATTTTCTCGAAGGAGAAATTGAGTGTTGATAGTATTTTAAAGTGATGATTTTGCCCAATATTAATGTCTAGCTTTTCGGTCCCCATTTTTTGCTATATTTAACTGTTTTAGTCTATTAATATATTTCCTCCTGCTGCCAGTATGCTCTCTCCATTGTCCAATAGTAAAATTAGAGCCAGTCAGGTCAGCTACAAGCTATAATCTTGCATGTATTAATGCTGAAACAAACCGGCTTTCGGCATTTATTAATTTTAAATATTTGTGTGCTAAAAACGGACAAAATTCAAATGCGTCCTTGATATTCTGGACGGCGATTGTTTCGGCGTAGCCGAACGTGAGTACGCGGATTTACACACATAAAATGCAAAAACATTTGGTGTAAACATTAAAATGGAATAACACTTTTGATAGCTTTTCAAGAGCCGGATGTTTTCCTCCAGGATGGATATCAAAATCTCACTACGCCCTTAAAACTGGGAATGTCTTGGCGCCTTTAAAAAAACGGGGTGTCACGGCCCTTTGAAACTTTACATATAGAGTGTTAAAGAAGACAAGAGGTTAATATTAATTAGATAGAAATGGATAAGTTATAAAAATACAGTTAATAATTAGAATATATGTTAGTTTCAAATCTCAATTAGGCAAAATTCTTGGCTCACGATGAGACGAGAAGTGACGCTGAAGATCTTGCAGTTCGTCATCCGTTTTTCTTCGCATTTCAACTGTAAATTCATACCTATTATTTTATCTATTATTTTTGACCTATTATTTTTAATATTATATCTTTTAGATTCCGGATTGCACCTTACGGGTGTTTCCCATTATCGGGGGGGGTAGTTTGGGCTTGGGCTCTGGGCTTATTCCTAAAGTCTAAAAAATCTTGTAACGTCGTAGTAAGCGTTTTAACAGCGTTTTTAGTGAAATTTTAGCTAGAATTCAATTGGAAAAACTATCCAAAACTTCGAAAAATTTTTGAACTAACTGCGAAAATCGAACTTTTACGCCTAAAAAAAAATCGAGATTTTGGGTGTATTCTTCGTAAAGTTTGTAAAGTTCAAGATTTGAAGCTTACAAATAGCAAGGAACAGTTTAGAAACACGTTGGAAACACTTAGGTACTTAAAGGGCATTATACTTAAAGGTCAAGCAAGGCTCGATTTTTATCAAAGGAAGAGTAAAAGGAATCTGTGTCAAACGCGCGAGATCCAAGCCCGCAGGCCTCAAATTCCGAGTCTTTTTTAAAGGGATAGCGACAGATAGATAGAAGAAACGAGCCAAGTCAAGAGAAAAAGGTTCCAATTCCGATTAAAAAATGGGCAATGAACATTACGCAGAAATTTCGGTACGCAGAAATCCATTAGACAGAAAACCGTTATACCGAAAACCCATTACGCAGAAAACCATTACACTGAAAATCCATTACGCAGAAATTCATTAAGCCGAAATCCATTAGACCGAAATTTCATTATACCGAAATCCCATTACACAAAAAATCATTACGCAGAATAACTATTACGCAGGAATTCATTATATAGAAAAAGTATTTCGCAGAAATTTGTTACCCCAACCGTTCCACTCCCATAAGATTCTATATACAAAAAAAAGTTGTATCCGCGGTCGTTGAGGTTGTTTCCATCATTGACTCACGGACTTTACCCAGTCAGATAGTCTTAATGGGTTCGAAAACTGTGCGAGATTCCCGATACTCACCCTCCTCTCTAGACTTCTTGAAACAGATTTTGAAGACTTTCTCCGAACCCTGTTTGCTAACTTTCCCGGATTTTATCCACCAAATTTTTTGCCTTATGATGCCTTGTCATCACCTCGGAAATTTTCTGCAAAAGAGAATTTTTCCTTGTCCGGAAATCCTACCTTATATAATTTGGTCGCGTATCTTTGTCTGTGTGTGTGTGCGGAGGTCAGTTTCGAGGCTCGATTTGAGGACCTTCCCGTGTCCAAAACGCCCTAATTCTCCGTCACCCGAGGGAATCGACCCTCCTCTTTCCATGGCGTTTTCAGAATCCCGATAAAATACAAGCTTACAAAGTTAAAGCCGGTTTTATTGATTTTTAGGGGTCCGGGCAGGCTAATTTGCATAATGTGAAAAAAAATACAAATTTCCTCATTCATGCCAGTTGCACTCGCCCGTGTGGTCGGCAGAGGGGAGGGGTCCGAAGGACCCGAGTGATCGGAAAGTCAAATTCATCATGCAAAAACCGCATTCCAGCGCCCAAGGCCCGCAAAGCGGGTTTTGGGCGCTGGTTTAGGTATAATGGTCTTCTGCGTAATGAATTTTCTAGGTAATATATGTGGGCGTCTGTATAATGGTTTTCTGCGTAACGGATTTCTGCGTATTGAAATTTCTGTGTATTGAAATTTCGATATAATGGGTTTCTGCGTAATGGTTTTCTGCAAAATCAATTTTCGGTATAACGTTAGTAAACCTTCAAAAATAGTGACAGATGAATAATATGATGATACTAGAGATGAGAAGGGTAGGTCACAAGAAGGGCTCGGATATCCATAGAGGATGAGTCCAAACGAGAGAGAAGGAAGGTCCAAGAAAGGATGATTAGGAGAGAAGCGCAACGTTAAAAAATACTCGAATTGGGTGCCTTTGTTCATTTGAAGGGAGCGCGACATGTGAATGGGCGGAAGAGGCTAGTCGGGTTAAAAGAAACATTTTTCTCCTGAAGGGATAGCGACCGATCGATAGATAGAATGGACAAGCCAAGTCAAACGAGAATGGCTCGAATTCCTAGATATTTTTTTTTGCAAGAAGTGATGAAAAAGGCTGGATAGAAGAGACGAGTAAGAAAAGAAAAACTCGAACTGGGAGCCTTTTTCATTTAAAGGCAGAGCGATGGACCGAATGAAAAGAAGAGGCAGGTCGGGTCGGAAAATCAACCCTTAAATTGGAACGCTTTTTCTTACTAAATGGATAGCGACAGATGCATATGTGTATAGAAAAGACGAGCAAAGGCAAGGAAGAAAAGCCCGAATTTTGCGCTTTTTTCTGGTATAGCGTCAGCTGGATGGAACAGACCAGTCAGGTCAAAACAGAGAAAGTGATAAATTCTGAGCCTTGTTCTGTGTTTAAACGGATAGCGACAGATGGATGGAAAATATAAACCAGTAAAGTTTTCCGAGCGCTTTATTGCTAACGGGATAGTGACAGATAGATAGCTAGATAGAAGAAACCAGCTTAGCCAAGAGAAAAGCTCAAATTCCGGGACATGTTCTGTGTTTAAAGAGAGAGCGACAGAAGAATCCTAACCTTGATGAGGCGTTCGGGATCGAAAAAGAGCAAAGAAAGGGGAGAGAAAAATATGACATAATTTTTGTAAATTTTTCTAGATGCAAATGAATAGATGAACCCACCTTTTCGCTTCGTATTATACAGTATGGCGTTTCATCGGTGTGCACGACTGAATTTCCAAAAACAACTTCCGGTTTGATGCTTGGTGAAATCTGAAATGAAATATTGAATAGGGTCGGCCGCGACTCCAAAAATTCTCGCTGCCCGAGCCAATAAAACTATGTTAAGAGGATTTGC